GAAAGAGCAGCAGTGTCTGGTGATGAGCAGGATGGCTTTAACCCCCAGCAAGGCTTCCCCACCTGGCTACTCAGGTGTGATTCCCAAAAAGTGGTCCCCCCAGAAACCCCCACACCTCACTACCCTCGCCGTGCACACCTGCTGAATTTCTGCCCCATTCTACGACGCTGCAGAAAAACTCGCTATGACAGAGAGCAAACTGTCCGGAAACCAATTCAATCAACACAAATGTTATCAAACAATTAGTATTACATTTTGCTTACTAATTCTTTCATGTTAACTCCTTACCCAGATCGCTTTCTATGCAGTTACAGCTTTAACGTCTTGCTAATTACAAAAATCAGACAGTTTTCAGAGAACAATCTGTTGGCATGATTTACTTACTACAGCCCCCTGGGGAAACAGACTTATTAAATGAAGCACTGAAATACAAATATATCAACTGTGAAGAACAGCCCTGCTCCTCACGGTGCCTTTCATAGTCAGTCCCCCATTCAATAAGCTATTCTTGTTTAGGCTGGGTTATGTATCAAGCATAGTAGCAATTAAAAAACAACGCAGCTAATTAAAAACAACGGAGCTCTGTACTTGCCTAGATTCCTAAATTTCCTGCATGCTTTTCCCCTGCTCATCATAAAGGAGAAAAGAAAAAACAGAAATAACTTTGTTGACTCTTTTAACCTTTGCTTTTATGAAGTTTGCGGGGTTTTTGTCTCCTCAAATTGCACAAAAGCTACACGCTTTGCCTACAGTAGGCCAACGGGTATCAGAGCCCACCAAGCCTGGGATGCTCTTGCATAGACAACGGACTGTTTCTCCTTTTAAACACTGGCAACACCACGCCAGATGCCCCTGCTTCTGCAGAAGTCCCTGCCAGCTTATTTTGAAGCCAGTGAGCCATACCCAAAGCCCAGACCCAGGCTGCTGCTGGAGGACTGACTCGCTTCAACCCTGTCCCACCAGGCTGTGAGGCACAACCACGGTGGGAGAGACGCAGCCCCAGCCCAGAAAATCTCTCCGGCAAGGAGGGGAGAGCCCCACCGACGTGAGATGCCACGACCACGTGCTTCAATGAAACCAGAGGTAATACATAAATTCAATAAAACCAGAGGTAAGACACAAAACCAGCTACTGGAGAGAGTCCAGTGGAGGGCTACAAGGATGGTGAGGGGACTGGAGCATCTCCACTACAAGGAAAGGCTGAGGGAGCTGGGCTTGTTCAGCCTGAAGAAGAGAAGGCTGCAAGGGGACCTTATAAATGCCTATAAATATCTCAGGGGTGGGTGTCAGGAGGATGGGGCCAGACTCTTTTCAGTGGTGCCCAGCGACAGGACAAGGGGCAACGGGCACAAACTGAAGCATAGGAAGTTCCGTCTGAACATGAGGCAGCACTTCTTCCCTCTGAGGGTGGCAGACCACTGGAACAGGCTGCCCAGAGGGGTTGTGGAGTCCCCTTCTCCTAAAGCATCCCTAAAATGCGGATGACATTGGGACAGACAGGTAGAGCCCCGGGACAGTGACAGATATCGGGGGTGTCCGGCACCCCGTCCCCTCCCGCCAGCCGAAACTCCTCCACCAGCCACTTTTGTTCTCTGTAACCGTAGCACTTTCTCACTCTCTTTTGCATGTCTGATGTTAATTTAAGTCTCTGAAAAAGAAAAAAAGAAAAAACCAAACCCACTAAACCCGCCCTCCCGACAGCCCTGTGCAGGCTGCACAGAAAACACCCTGGCTTCAGAAGCTCCCAACGATGGGATTTCCAGTATCTCGACAGCAGGACGGGAGCACGCGCGGCGCCTGCAAAGCCCTGTGCCAGCCCTCGCTAATTATGTTTACCAACAGCTTCCCCGGAGACAACAGTCCCCTAAAAGGTCACAAAAAAAAAAATAATAATCTCTGGATGAAGCAGTTCCTCGCCCAAAGTTAATAATTCACCGCAACGCGTGCCTACAAGGCCACCGCCTCCCCCATGTCCCCCTGAAGCTGGGGGCCAGGGAGACGTGATCCCCTCCATCCCTCCTCCTCCTCCTCAGCAGCCCGGGAGCTGCAGGTGGCTTTGGCAGGGAGGGGTGGTTGTTTTTTTGGCCTTAATCCAGACCAGATGGGGAGAAGGTGGATTTGGCCACCCTCCAGCCCCAGCAGCACACGTCCTACCTGACACCTGGATTAACCCCTCTCCTGCCCACGCCCCAGCAAAGCAGCGCTCACAGGCAGCCACGACGCCCACGCGACCTGCCTGCACTTACAAACCTTTTACTTTTTTTTTTTTTTGGTGCCTTCTGCTCTGCCTTGCATTTGCTTTAAGAAACAACTAGGAGCAAAGAAAACCTCCGAATCCCTGCTAGGGGTCCAAATCAAAGCCTGGGCTGCAGCCAGAGGTTCGCTCATCCCAGCTGACCCCATCGTCCACCTGGGGTGGCCCAAAACTTTGGGGAAAACAAAAAAAAATATCAAAAAAAAGCACCCCAAAAAAACCAAGAAACCCACACAAGGCTTCAAAGAGCATCAGTTCGTGCTGCAGAGCAACCACTCGCCGCTCCAAAGGACACGTCTGATGTCACTGGTGAAGGATGCCCCAGTCTAGCCAAGGGATGAAAGCCTGTAGGACACATGTCCAATGGCAAACGCCCTGGGAGATGCGCTGCTGACCACATCCAAGCCTCGTGGGAGACACCGGAGGGTGCTGGAACAGCCAAGGTCACACCGCTGAAACAGGGATAACTCCCAGGTCCGGACCAAAGAACAAACCCACCCAGATGGCATCCATTTCTAGTGGGGTTCACCTGGTCTGCAGCACTCTGGGAGGAGCGAGAAGGCGACCAAGCCAGAGCCAAGGCAAGCTGTGTATAAGATGGTACAATTTTATTTACTTATTTTAAATACTATCATCCCTGATTAGCCACGTCTGGCAGAAGGATGAAGGGAAGTGCGTGCATCTCCCATCTACAAGAATGAGCCAAATGCATTGGAAAAAAACCACCTTTGGCAGGCTGTCTTATTCCAAACACCTATTGTTTTGTTAATGCAAAGTAGGTGTCGTGCAAACATGACTCTCAACTAATGGGAAAAAGCCGGTGAACCTGTTGCCCACCAGCCAAAACACATTAATTCTCCCCCTTCACGCCTTCCCCCTCTTTGCTGATTTATGGCTGTGATGTTTTCCAGGTCAAGTTTTCAAACCCTTCTCAGGAGCTGTACGCGACGTGGTAGCGGGGCTGCACCCATCAGCGTCTACTTGTATCCACCCCCAAAAAATCCTCCAGACGGGCGTTTCGCTGTCGAGGCAAAGACGATCCTCCGCTCCACGCCCCGGCACCTGGGAGCAGAATTCACGCCAGCGATTTGGACGCTGCCTTGAAAGCCACTTCGCCGAGATCACTGGCCGCTCAGCCAGAAAAACCCAGAGGCCAATTCAGACACAGCGAGGGTATTTTAACTGCAGCGATTTCGCAAGTAATCTTAAACCCGCGTTGATGTCGTAGAAAGAAGTCACAAAAATGTGCACAGCAGCATGAAACAGAAAAAAAAAATATACCTGTGCTTGGCCATTGCAAATCTCTGCAGGCACCACCGAGCGCAGGATTTTACCACCTTCTCCTCTTCTTTTTTTTTTTTACATAACCTGAAACAAAATAATCCTATCTTCCTTTTAGTTGCCAAAAAAGACATTCTGTTCTTGGCTAAGACTTCTTACTCATCTATTTTACTGAAAACAGCTTTTGGAACAAGTACATAATGCAATGGATCAAACCCGCAGGAATTCCTCTCTGGCACCAGAACTCCCACTATCCTGGGAATACTTTCTAACAAATATTTAGCCCAGATGTGCATTCCTTTCTTTTTCTCTCCCTCCTTTTTTTTTTTTTTAAAGCATTAAAGTTTGGGTGGGGGGAACGAGGAGGGAGGGGTGGCTGTCTAGCTGGGGGGAAGGGAATCGAATCTGCAAAGTCCCATTTCTGGCACTCGGCAAGTCGCAGGGCAAAGCCCTAACACACTGGAAAGCAAAGAATTAATGTTTTAACTATCCTCCTCTTGGACGACGTCTCAACAGTAAATATTTCGAGTAATTTAGATTTAAGAAGGTTTGGCATTTGCTTAGCCAAGCTCAGAGGAAGGCAACTAAAAACCCTACCAGTGTCCAGTTAGCCTATTTAGAAGGGACTGCACACAGAGGCGTCGCGGCTTGGGGCAGAGTATGCGGAGAAGATGTGTCGGCGCTGTGCTTTGGGGCCGTACGCGTGCTCTGCGCCGCGCGGGCGAACGCAGCAGTGCAAGCGAGGCGAGGGAAACTTCTCCCAGCAGCTCCAGCGGCTGCATTTGGTTGTGCCACAACTCCCAGGGTACTGCAGGAGAACACCTATGAGCAAGGATATTTTAAATTTCGGGGTGTCCCCTCGGTGGAGCATCCTCAGGAATGGAAGGATCCCAAATCTGCGCACGAGGTATTGATAGCAAACTTTCTTCTGCAAAGCAATTTGGGTAAAAACAACAAAAAAACCTCCAAATCTCAGTGCAATGCACTAAAAGCATTTACTCTTCCAGTGGCTCTCTGAGCTGGTTTGCTGGCTTCACAAGCACAGCCACCTGCCTGCAGCCTGGGAAGCCAAAGCGGACCCTTCCCGGCACGCGGGGATGAGGGCTCGGGCGCCGGGAGCGCGTTACCGACTCCGCCGAGCCGTGGCCGTGAGTCAGAGCAGCTCCCGCTCCCTCCCCGTCAGCCGCAGGCGCTGCGCAGGTCTAGCAGGGAGTAAATATTAGTTTAAAAAACACCACTGTGTATCTGAGCCAGGTACGGCTCTGAGCGGCGCTCGCGGAGCAAACCTGGGGCAGTTTTGGGGGTCGGTGTGTAGTTGCACGCCGCCGTTTGTTGTGGGTCAGGCAACCTTGGCGCGAGTATCGCCAAAAACCGGTGCGGAGCCGAGCCTCCCGTTCAGCTATCCCAGATATTTGA